GAACTGCGTCGACATAAGTGCCCGTGGACTTCCAGGATGCCATCTCTGCGTCCATGGCTGTCTGCCACTGAGAGGAGTACTCACCCGCGATCGCCTCAGCGTAAGTTCGCGGGGTCGGGATGTCTGGTGCATCCGGGTCTCCCTCAGGGGCAAGCAGCATGGCCACGAGATGAGGTGCAGCGGCTGCAAGACACTCAAAGTCCTCCTGCCTGTCCTCAAGGACGTCCGTGCCAAGAGCACACTCACCCCCGACGGATGGAGGACAGACAGACTCAGACTCAGCAACAAAACTAGTGGCGTAGTCGAGACGACAGGCAGCAGCAAAGTCTACAAGCTCAGCGACTAAGGCAGACGCATCAGTAGACTCAAACGTCGGGTCTGTGACTATAGCGGCTAACAGACGCGTGACAGTAGGGTGAGCAGTATGAACCAGGTCAGATGGCGGGTCCGGAACGTCAAGCAGAGAAGACGCAGGAGGAGACGGCAGGGGAACGCGAAGAGGAACAGAGGAAGGACGAAGGGACATAGTGTGCCTGCCGGGGACTGGAGGAGGACGCTCACGAGGAACTCGACGACCAGTGCGACCAGTGCGAACAGGCGAGGCATGACGGGACACAGGCTCGCGATGATCAGTAAGACGTCATGTCTGCTCAGTGTAAGGAGAAGGAGCAGGCAGTGGGGAGCCTGGCTGTAATGGGAGACCAGTAGAAGACGGGAGACTAAGGACCTGGCGGAGCACCGAGTCCGGCGGCGGCAGAGACGACGGTGATGGTGGAGCAAAGAACAAACGCGGCGGTGCAGTACCACCAGATGCAGCTCCTCCAACGTCTCCAGCAGCTCCAGAAACGCCAGCTCCAGTACCTCCAGCAGCTCCAGAAACTCCAGCTCCAGCACCTACAGCTCCAGAGTCCGCAGCACCACCAGCTCCGGCAGCTCGAGCACCCGAAGTGCGAGCACCTCCGGGACCAGTGGCACTCGTACCACCAGCACCTCCAGTAGCTGCAGTCTCTCCAGAACCAGTAGCTCCAGCTCCTCCAGTACCGCCAGCTCTAGGGTCTCCAGCTCAAGCAGCACCGCCACCGTCCCCAGCTCCAGCACATCCATGACGAACGCCACCGGGACCAGCAGTGCCAGGCCGAGAGCGGGGCACGTAGCGTAGCACTCACGTAGCTGCTGCGGCGAGCAAGGCACCCGCAAAGTAGACGTAGTGCCCCGAGGCTCAGCACCCCCAGATGCAGCACCCTCAGGTGCCGCACGCTCAGTCTCGACACTCCTCAACCCCGCACGCACAGGCTCAGCACCCCCAGGCTCTGCACCCCTACGCTCAACACCCCTAGGCTCCGCACCCCCATGCTCAGCACCCCCAAGCTCAACACCCCCAGGCTCCGCACCCCCAGGCTCAGCACTCCCAGGCTCAGCACCCACAGGCTCCGCAACCCCAGGCTCAGTACCCCTAGGCTCAGCACCTCCAGGCTCCACAACCCCAGGCTTAGCACCTCCAGACGCAGCACCCTGAGCAGGACCACCCCCAGCAGCACCTGAGTCACCAATGACCTCGACAGGCTCAGCCAAGGGAGGTGGGTCTACCTGCAACACATCTGAAGGAGCAGGACCCTGAGGGGGGAGGGGGTCTACCGGAGGGGGACCTGGAGTGAGGAAGAGCGGCGGGGGGGGGGGGGAGAGAGGCAGTGCGGTAGGGGAACAGACGGTAAAAGAGAACCGACTCGTTGAATGTGACGTCCTGAGAGGGGAAGACACGGCGCGAGGTGGGGTGGTAAAACTGCCACCAGGCGCGTCAGGGACAAAGCCAAGGAAGACACAGGGAATGGCGCGGGAGGAGAGCTTATCGGCGGTGGTATCGCGGACAAAGGCACGAGAGCCCCAGATTCGGAACCATGATGCATCGCCAACCTCCCCTTTCCAACGCAGTGTGGGCGAGGTCTCCGGCAAGGAGACACGGGGCCAGAGGTTGAGTTGATGCGCAGCCTACCGGGCCGCAAACGGCCACAGAAAATGGGGAGCAGCCGCATGGATCATGGAGGTACGAGCGACCTCCATGAGTAAGCCAATGCAGCGCTCAGCAACCCCATTCTGCTGGGGGGAGGCCGGAAGCGTGAACGACTGGAGAATGCCCTCTCCCTGACAGAAGGCTCGCAAGAGGTCGGAGGAGAACTCACCACCTCTGTCAGAGTGCAGACGCAGGACATGAAGGTCCGTGTCGAACCGCTCGCGGATCTGGAGACGAACAGCGCGGATCCAAGGGATCAAGACATCAGGAACCTCACCCTTGGTGCGCAAGGGGAAGACCATGGTGTAATGCGAGTAGTCGTCGACAACCAGCAGAAAGTACCAGAGAGTAGACTCAGCATGCGCAGTATCAGAGATAGTAGACTCACTAGCACCTAGAGCAGTAGTCGGTATACCTGGGTCAGGCGGCACACACAAGTAACAGTCACCCTCAGCACTAGTAGACAAAGCATACATGTCAGTAAGGATAGCATCATAGTCAAGTTCAAAGATTTCAACACCAGCCTTAACCATATCTGCCCAGCGGGGCATCTCATGATCATCGCCAAACTCATTGCGCCAAGCATCGTCTAGGCGGGAGAAGCAGCGGTACTGGGTGTGAGGCTTGCCGCACGTCTGACCCTTGCGGTCACCAGTGCGAATGACGTACGGGCAGGAAGCACTACCCCCAGACACCCGGCGCTGAGCATACCAGTCACGAAGCTGCTGGGACGAGAGGGTCTCACGCTGGCGCTGGTGCTGCTGATGCCGCTGACCACCTCCAGTCCGCCCACCACTGATGCTGCCACCACCACTCCCGCCACCACCACCATAGCCCCCACTACGTCCACTGTCACCACGACCACCGCCACCGCCACCCCCGCCGCTACCGCCACCCCCGCCACCGACTCCCCCACTCCCGCCACCACTACCACCTCCGCCACCTCCACTGCCTCCACCGCCTCCACCACTACCGCCTCCACCGCCGCCACCCCCACCACCCTTGCCTCCCTTGCCCCTGCCGCCGCGGCGTCTCCCAATAGGAGCAGAAGCAGCACCGACTCCCTCAGCATCAAGGAAGTCGACAGCAGCAGCAGAAGCGACAGAGGGGGCAAGGGGGGAGGGGGAGCACCCCTCAAAGAAGGGCGTGCGGGGAGTGCCACAAGCAACACCTACAGCGACGATGTTGGTCTCAGCTGCTAGGAGGTGCTTCGAGAGCAGGTCGATAGTGAGGTCTGTGGGGCTAAGGGCGAGAAGGGTGTTCCGTAATGCGATAAGAGAGTCGGGGAGGCGAGTGACTATAAAGTAGAGAGTGATGTAGATCGGGGGCTCATTCTTGGGGACAAACTCGGTGGGGAGGGCTGCATGGTAGCGAGCGTCCATAGTGCGGAGGTGGGTGATGGGGTCGTCTACAGTGTCGAAAGAGGACAGCTCGGGAAAGAGGTAGGGGAGGATGAGGCGACCTAGATCTGCAGTGGTAGGGCAAGAGTAGCGCGCAACAACAGCGTCGTACAGTTCTTTGGCCGTTTTAGTCTGATCAAAGTGCTCGCGTTTGGCTATCGGCAGGTGGTTACGAACAGCTAAGCGAGCGGCAGCGTCACGAGTGAGCCATTTCGAGCGAGCCGTACTATCGGCAGAGGCGGCAGAGGCAGGACCAGCTCCAGACGTGAGGTCAAACAAGGAGACATCGTCCTTAAAGTCGCTCAGGAGGAACAGCTGTAGGTCCTGCAGCCAGGTTTCGAACTTAATAGGGCGGCCGTCAGGATCAAACTCGAGGACGCTGAGGGAGGCCATAACGCCGCAGTGAAGGGCAGCGTAAGTGGGCGTGCGGTAAGTAAGGCGGCGCACGGACTGCAAAAGCTACTAGGGAGCCGCGCGGGCTGCAGGCAGGCAGTGCGCAAGGCGGCAGAGGTGGCGCGCGGGCTGCAGGGCAGTGCTCGGGCCGAGCGGGCAGCAGGCGGACGGTGAGCGGGCCGGCAGGAGCTGCGCACGGGCAGGCGAAGGCAGCGCGCAGGCCGCGAAGGCAGCGCGGGCTGCGCGGGCAGCGGGCGGGCTGCTAGCGAGCGGCTCGCGAGCTGGCAGGAGCTGCGCGCGGGTTGCATGGGCAGCGAGCGGGCCGCGCGGGCTGCTAGCAGGCGGTGCGCGGGCCGGCAGGAGCTGTGCACGGGCTGCGCGGGCAGCGCATGGGCGATGCGCGGGCCTGCAGAGGCTGCGTGTGGGCAGGCAGGGGCGACGCGCGGGTCGCGCGGGCTACAGGCGGGCAAGGCGCGGGCTGCAGTGGCGGCGCGGCGCATGGCAGGGCAGGGCGTGCGCGGGGGTGCGCAACGTAAGGCAGGGCAGGGCAGGGCGTGCGCTGGCGACGCAACGCAGGCAGGGCACGGAGTAGCGCAGTAACCGCAGTCGGTTGGTGGGCCCCAAAAAAAAAGGTCCTGAGGACCTATTGCTCTGAATACCATGTCAGAACTAAGAGCACGAAGGAAGGAAGTAGAGTGTTGGGTACAAATAGAAACCCTTAAGGGGTTGTACCCCATGTTGGCTACCCCACTACACCCTACATAGTATACTATAATATATATAGTTTGACAGCTATACCAAGGCCCTCTAGCCCGGCTACGACCGGCGGTGTTTTTGCGTTGTACGTTGTATAATGCACTTTCACCTACCAAAAAAATAAAGAAAAGTAAAGGCCACTGCCTAAGTTACCAGTCAATTAACATGGTGCAGAACCAGTAAGATTGTATGCTCACCAAACCCAATTCAATTGAGATGAGTTTCCTAAGCACAGCAGAACCATGTAGCCAATAAAGCCATGCGCTCGTACCCTGAGTGGTAAGATGAACACTAGGAACACTACATTCACTGCACACCTTCCAGCAAAGTCACCGCATGTGGTTGCTTTTGAGACGTCCAATCAGACTAGGTACTGCATCTTCATGTTCTCGCACCGTACCGTGTTCATCATCAGTTGCTCAAATGTGTCTGTTTGGCACGACCTACACAGTGCGTGGCCTGGCCGTTGTGAAGACAGCAAGTGTCTCGATGCTGCAAAAGAAAGAAAATCAACACCAAGAGCCACAGACAGGAGTATCAGTGATTGACGAAAGAAAGTCAAGGTATTGAGGGACAAAGTTAACTATAGTTGTCTCTAAGTCAGTGCACGGAATAACCATCCAATAGCACTTAATGGGCACTATAGGCATGCACGTGTGGCTGCATGAAGAGTGTATCTTGAGTGTGTAACAATGCAAAGTGTACCAGTACCTACTGTTGTCACCATGTAATAGAGGAGGTGCACCAATGTAACATGTGTATCTGTTAGTATAACACATGTACAAGTAATGGCACAACTGTTTGTTGCAGGCAACCGCATACCAGAAACGACCTACCTGTTTATAACCATGCATGCACTGTTGCTTCCTAGTGAATACTTCTGAAGATCTACCTGTTAGTGCCAGAAATAGTAATCCATGGCACCAGAGTGGTGCTCTATGAAATCTGACAGCATAACAGTAATGGCTTACTGTTGGTGTAGCTGAGTAACAGTAACAGCCTACCTGTTGGTGCCAGGAAAGAAGTTGAATGCCGAGGCGTGGGAGAGATGGAAGAGGCCGTCTTGGGTGAGCTTGTCACAGTCCTGTGGGGTGGGGTGCGGTGGGGTAGGGTGGGGTGCAGGAGATGAGGCTAAGGAAAAGGTTTTGAAGTTGAAGGCAGAGGCGTGCGAGAGATGGAAGAGGCCGTCTTGGGTGAGCTTGTCACAGTCCTGAGAGGTGGGAGTCACGGTTGGGAATGGATGAATGCACGTTGAGAGAATGACGGGCGAGTGCATGAGTGGAAGGGATAGGAGGAGGCATGGGAGAGAGAGAGGGAAGAGGCTGTCTCGAGTGAGGTTGCCACAATTCTGAGAATTGGGGTGGTGGGCATGGATGGATGGGGAAATGATGGGTTGCATGAGTGGTAGGGACTGACGGAAAGCATACCATCCGCACACGATGCACACAAGATTCAAGCCACCTCATGTCATTAACCCGATGCTCCCTCTTCACCCGTTTCCCTACTCCCTCTCACTTGGCCCTACTCCCTCACACCTGGCCCTACTCCCTCACACTTGGCCCTAATCCCTTCAGGTGCAGTTATATCTGCAAACTTTCCCAGAACACCATATGGGGCCATTGCCGCGCCTACTAGCTCCTTGGCTAACACCAACGACTCCTTCTTCCACTGCAGCACGGGTAGTATGTAAAGCATCTCCTCCCTCCCGACCCTCTCACCCGCTGAAACGCGTCCCATCCGCAGCTGATATAAACGAGAGTCAAGGCGTCTCTCGCCCCACCGCTGTTGCTGCTGCCGCTGCTTCTGTGCTTTGTCTTCTCACTACGAGCATTGCTGCTGGACTGCCTGTAGGCCTGCTGCTGTGACAGCCTAGGGGGAGAGAGTACACGCAGAAGGGGAGAAGAGTATTAGAGCGGCGAAGAGACTCTTGAGCGGAACTAAAGGAAACAAACGGAGAAGCGAGCGATGGGAAAATGAGATGTGTTTTTGAGTCGAGTCAAAAGATGGGCAGCGAGCGTACAGGCAGAGGAGGAGCGGAGGATAGGAGCTTGAAATTTTTATACACGCACGCACGCACGCATGCACGCACGCACGCACGCACGCATGCACACACGCACACATAAAATCCATCTAACCTGCCAGCATGCAGCAGCGCGGCCAGGAGTGGCTCGTGCAGGCCCCTGCAAATATGTGTCTCACACACTCCCACGCAGAACCCAAGACACCTTTCTCACCTGCCGGTTTGCCTGGCAGCGTGCAGCAGAGCAGCCGGCACTGGCTCGTGCAGACCCCTGCGAGTGTGTTTCACTCAAGCAGTCTCGCACACACACAAACACACACATGCACTCTCAGACACACGCTCACATACACACACACATGCACTAGGACAACACGAGACACCTTACTCACCTGCCGGCATGCCCGGCAGCATGCAGCAGCGCAGTCAAGACTGGCTCGCGCAGACCCCTACGTGTTTGTGTCAAACACTCTGACACACATAGACGCACATAGAGACACACAGACGCACACACATGCACTAGGACAACACAAGACACCTTACCTGCCAGCATGCCAGGCAGCATGCAGGAGAGCAGCTAGCACTGGCTCTTGCAGACCCCTGCAAGTGCCACACACGTGCACTCTCAGACACACTCACTCGCACTGACACACAAACAATCACCTTACCTGCCGGCATGCCTGGCAGCGTGCAGCAGCGCAGCCAAGACTGGCTCGTGCAGCCCCCTGCGAGGGGGGTCCACGAGCACCACGTGTGCATCCAGTAGAATGTCTAGATGGGACTGAGAGGGGGGAGGAAGGAGAAGGCAGGGGGCGAGGGGCACAGTCATGCACATTGTGACCTTCACTTGGGTACAAGACAACCCCAGAACTGGCTCTTGTAAGCCCCTGCGAGGGGAGTCCACCAGCACCACGTATGCATCCAGAAGAATGTCCAGATGGGACTGAATGGGGGGAGGAGAAAGACATGCATGATGCGAGGGAGCGAGCCTTACTAAAGGCCAACCCCTGGCTCGTGCAGGCACCTCTGAGGGGGGTCCACCAGCACCACGCCGGCATTCAGAAGAATGTCCAGATGGGACTGGGGTGCAGTCGATGCACATATTCGATGAACAGCTCACCTTAACAGTGAGTGCAGAACTCACCTCCACGTGTAGAGAGGGTGTTTTCGAGACGACTCAAAACCACCCTCTCTACACGTGCACAACAGAACTCACCTCCACGGCTGCCTCTGCGTCCACCTGGTGCCACGACAGCAGCAGCGTGGCGCAGCGGCGGGTGCAGAGGTGAGGTAGCAGCAGCGAGCGCAGGCGAGGGTGCAATACAGCCTAAGTGTTCAGAGCGTGTACTCACCTCCACGGGCGCCTCTCCGTCTGCCTGGTGCCACGACACAGCAGCGGGGTGGCACAGCAGCGGCTTAAACAGAAGGTACAGCGGAGGGTGCAATAGGGCCAAGCCAAGCAGCAACCAGTGCTCACCCAAACTAAACATCCTCACTCACCTCAACAGGCGCCTCTGCGTCTGCCTGGTGCCAGGATACGGAAGCAGGGTGACGCAGCAGCGGCTGCAGTCGCTCCAGTGAGCGAGTGAAGGGCGCCCTTGCTGTCTCATTGATCTCGTAGCACCGTACACTAGATGGGCAAAAACGAGAAGGGCGGGGTGGAGAAGCAAGAGCGTGACTGAGGGTGGGGAGAGAGAGAGTCAGAGGGGGTGGGCTGCAGGCGCTCCAGTGAACGCATGAAAGGCGCCATTGCTGCTTCGTTGATTTCATAGCCCCCGTACACTGGATGGACAGGAACAGGAAGGGCGGGGTGGAGAAGCAAGAGCGTGACTGAGGGTGGGGAGTCCAAGGGGGCCCATGCCGCTTCGTAGATGTCACAGCACCGAGCACTGAGTGAAAGAGGAGGGGGGTGGGGGGGGGAGGGTGAGGAAGGGGAAGGGGGAAAATTTCTAAAGGGGTTGGGCTGCAGGCGCTCCAGTGAACCGGAGGGGAAAATTCCAAGGAGTAAAGGGCGTTCCAACCGGCTTGTTGATGCCATAGCATCAGACAGTGGATAGAGGGTTGGGGGCAAGTTGAGTGTTGAGGCGCCTCAAAAGGGGTTGGGCTGGGGGCGCTCCAGTGAACGGGGTAAAGGGCGTTCCAACCGGCTCGTTGATGCCATAGCATCAGACAGTGGATCTATCCACTGTTGAGGGCAAGTTGAGGAGGGGAGAGGGTGGGTGGGAGTCAGAGGGGGGGGTGGCCTGCAGGCGCTCCAGCGAGCGAGCGAAGCGCGCCCGTGACTCCTCGTTGATGTCATAGCATGATAGCACCGGACAGTGGATAGGCAGGAACAGGAAGAGGTTTTTGAGAATTCTCAAAACCCGCCCGTGACTCCTCGTTGATGTCATAGCATGATAGCACCGGGAATCACTTTTGAGAATTCTCAAAAGTTATAGCACCGGACAGTGGACAGGCAGGAACAGGAAGAGGAAGGGAAGGGGGGGTGGGTAGTTGTGCTCGAAGAGAGGTTGTGTAGATCAGCAATAATGAATCGGTTCGTTTGCCAAGCAACACCACAAGGGATAGGAGTATTTTTTTTCCTTCTTATTTGATTGTGGTGCTGCAGGCTCGCGTACCTGCACTGTGTGGTAGCGGCAAGGGACAGCCCTATGGCCCCTGCCCCTGCATAAAGCTCCACCACCGAAGAGCGGCGAGGAATGAGCGAGTGCAGATGCGTCAGCATCAAGTCAAACGCCTGTTAAGGCACACGGGGTGGAAGGAGAGAGTGTTGCAGCAGCAAGAGAAAGTCTATTTTCCTTGTACAGGTTGTACTTATTACATCCGTATAGCAGCAGCAACTAAGCAGGCGTTGCAACTGTTCAACGCATGCCAAACAGGGAAGAAATCTCAGCCTCATTATGGCCAGTCTCAGTCGTTTTTTGAGTCGACTCAAAACTCGCCCCGAGTCTTCCTTGAAATTCTTCACCTTGTCTTCGCCATTAGCCTTCTCTTCGTGATTCACCCACCTTGTATCACCCGTTCGCACAGCTCGCCACCCCTCACCTCTTAGCTGGCTTGCCTGAAGCTTCCAGGAGTAAAGCGCACACACACAGTACCCAATGTCAACCTGAGTCCATTTTTAAGTCGACTCAAAAATCGACGCACACACACAGTACCCAATGTCAACCTGATTCCTCAACTCGTCTCCTTTCCTGCACCATCTATCCCTCAGATTGTAGCACCAGTCGCACCCCTCTCCACCCCTCACCTTGTAGTTGGCCTGCCCGAAGCTGCCAGGAGTGAAGCACACATCCACGCCCCCCCCCCGCCCCCAACCTGACTCTTCGCCTTGTGGTATCCAGTCGCACCCATCTCCACCCCTCACCTTGTAGTTGGCTTGTCCGAAGCTGCCAGGAGTGAAGCACACGTCCACTCCCCCCTGCCTCCACCTGACTCTTCATGTTGTGGCACCAAGTCGCACCACCACCCCACACCTTGTAAGAATACCCACCCAAACCCAACCCCACTTCTACCCACCCCTCACCTTGGAGTTGGCCTACCCAAAGCTCCCAGCAGTGAAGCAAACATTCACACCCCTCAGCTTCAGCATCAACCTGACTCTTCACCTCGTCTCCTTCCTTGCACCATCCATATCTGCTCATCTTGTAACACCCAGTCCCACCTCTCCTCACCCCTCACATTGTAGCACTCACAAAACCCCACCTCTTTCCACCACTCACCTTGCAATTGGCCTGCCCAAAGCTGCCAGGCGTGAAGCACACATCCACGCCCCCCAGCCGCTCCCACCGTGTGATACCCATTTGCTCCTTGCATTATCCAGAATTACCTCGTGGTACCCACCCAGACCCACCTTGCAGTACCCAATCCCACCTCTCTCCACCCCTCACCTTGTAATTGGCCTGCCCAAAGCTGCCAGGCGTGAAGCACACATCCACACCCCCCAGCCGCTCCCACATGTCCGTTGGGCCAATCATGTGCCGCCACCTGCCACCAAATATCACCTGTAGGGAACGTACAATCAATTCAGCCACGAATGGCTACAGTGCATGCCACGACCATGCCTTATCCAAAAAGGGCGCACATATGATCCAAATGCTGAATGGGTACACTAATACAAACGCTGCATGGTTGGATACACCTACAAATTAAAACACATACACACAGACACACACAAACATACATACACACACACATACATACATACATACATACATACATACATACATACATACATACATGCATACATGCATGCATGCATACATGCATGCATCCATGAATGCATGCATGCATACATGCAGACTGTGTATGGAATGTCTCTGACTTGCTGCAACACTCACATTGCTGGAAGATGGATGGAATGTCACCCACACAGAGTGCAGCTCTCGAGCCTCTGACTTGGCTTGAACGCCCTTTGAGGCGCCTCAAAAGCACTCGAGCCTCTGAATTGGCTTGAACGCCCTTTGAGGCGCCTCAAAAGCACTCGAGCCTCTGAATTGGCTTGAACGCCCTTTGAGGCGCCTCAAAAGCACTCGAGCCTCTGACTTGGCTTGAACGCCCTTTGAGGCGCCTCAAAAGCACTCGAGCCTCTGACTTGGCTTGAACGCCCTTTGAGGCGCCTCAAAAGCACTCGAGCCTCTGACTTGGCTTGAACGCCCTTTGAGGCGCCTCAAAAGCACTCGAGCCTCTGACTTGGCTTGAACGCCCTTTGAGGCGCCTCAAAAGCACTCGAGCCTCTGACTTGGCTTGAACGCCCTTTGAGGCGCCTCAAAAGCACTCGAGCCTCTGAATTGGCTTGAACGCCCTTTGAGGCGCCTCAAAAGCACTCGAGCCTCTGACTTGGCTTGAACGCCCTTTGAGGCGCCTCAAAAGCACTCGAGCCTCTGACTTGGCTTGAACGCCCTTTGAGGCGCCTCAAAAGCACTCGAGCCTCTGACTTGGCTTGAACGCCCTTTGAGGCGCCTCAAAAGCACTCGAGCCTCTGACTTGGCTTGAACGCCCTTTGAGGCGCCTCAAAAGCACTCGAGCCTCTGTCTTGGCTTGAACGCCCTTTGAGGCGCCTCAAAAGCACTCGAGCCTCTGACTTGGCTTGAACGCCCTTTGAGGCGCCTCAAAAGCACGCGAGCCTCTGACTTGGCTTGAACGCCCTTTGAGGCGCCTCAAAAGCACTCGAGCCTCTGACTTGGCTTGAACGCCCTTTGAGGCGCCTCAAAAGCACTCGAGCCTCTGACTTGGCTTGAACGCCCTTTGAGGCGCCTCAAAAGCACTCGAGCCTCTGACTTGGCTTGAACGCCCTTTGAGGCGCCTCAAAAGCACTCGAGCCTCTGACTTGGCTTGAACGCCCTTTGAGGCGCCTCAAAAGCACTCGAGCCTCTGACTTGGCTTGAACGCCCTTTGAGGCGCCTCAAAAGCACTCGAGCCTCTGACTTGGCTTGAACGCCCTTTGAGGCGTCTCAAAAGCACTCGAGCCTCTGACTTGGCTTGAACGCCCTTTGAGGCGCCTCAAAAGCACTCGAGCCTCTGACTTGGCTTGAACGCCCTTTGAGGCGCCTCAAAAGCACTCGAGCCTCTGACTTGGCTTGAACGCCCTTTGAGGCGCCTCAAAAGCACTCGAGCCTCTGACTTGGCTTGAACGCCCTTTGAGGCGCCTCAAAAGCACTCGAGCCTCTGACTTGGCTTGAACGCCCTTTGAGGCGCCTCAAAAGCACTCGAGCCTCTGACTTGGCTTGAACGCCCTTTGAGGCGCCTCAAAAGCACTCGAGCCTCTGACTTGGCTTGAACGCCCTTTGAGGCGCCTCAAAAGCACTCGAGCCTCTGACTTGGCTTGAACGCCCTTTGAGGCGCCTCAAAAGCACTCGAGCCTCTGACTTGGCTTGAACGCCCTTTGAGGCGCCTCAAAAGCACTCGAGCCTCTGACTTGGCTTGAACGCCCTTTGAGGCGCCTCAAAAGCACTCAAGCCTCTGACTTGGCTTGAACGCCCTTTGAGGCGCCTCAAAAGCACTCGAGCCTCTGACTCGGCTTGAACGCCCTTTGAGGCGCCTCAAAAGCACTCGAGCCTCTGACTTGGCTTGAACGCCCTTTGAGGCGCCTCAAAAGCACTCGAGCCTCTGACTTGGCTTGAACGCCCTTTGAGGCGCCTCAAAAGCACTCGAGCCTCTGACTTGGCTTGAACGCCCTTTGAGGCGCCTCAAAAGCACTCGAGCCTCTGACTTGGCTTGAACGCCCTTTGAGGCGCCTCAAAAGCACTCGAGCCTCTGACTTGGCTTGAACGCCCTTTGAGGCGCCTCAAAAGCACTCGAGCCTCTGACTTGGCTTGAACGCCCTTTGAGGCGCCTCAAAAGCACTCGAGCCTCTGACTTGGCTTGAACGCCCTTTGAGGCGCCTCAAAAGCACTCGAGCCTCTGACTTGGCTTGAACGCCCTTTGAGGCGCCTCAAAAGCACTCGAGCCTCTGACTTGGCTTGAACGCCCTTTGAGGCGCCTCAAAAGCACTCGAGCCTCTGACTTGGCTTGAACGCCCTTTGAGGCGCCTCAAAAGCACTCGAGCCTCTGACTTGGCTTGAACGCCCTTTGAGGCGCCTCAAAAGCACTCGAGCCTCTGACTTGGCTTGAACGCCCTTTGAGGCGCCTCAAAAGCACTCGAGCCTCTGACTTGGCTTGAACGCCCTTTGAGGCGCCTCAAAAGCACTCGAGCCTCTGACTTGGCTTGAACGCCCTTTGAGGCGCCTCAAAAGCACTCGAGCCTCTGACTTGGCTTGAACGCCCTTTGAGGCGCCTCAAAAGCACTCGAGCCTCTGACTCGGCTTGAACGCCCTTTGAGGCGCCTCAAAAGCACTCGAGCCTCTGACTTGGCTTGAACGCCCTTTGAGGCGCCTCAAAAGCACTCGAGCCTCTGACTTGGCTTGAACGCCCTTTGAGGCGCCTCAAAAGCACTCGAGCCTCTGACTTGGCTTGAACGCCCTTTGAGGCGCCTCAAAAGCACTCGAGCCTCTGACTTGGCTTGAACGCCCTTTGAGGCGCCTCAAAAGCACTCGAGCCTCTGACTTGGCTTGAACGCCCTTTGAGGCGCCTCAAAAGCACTCGAGCCTCTGACTTGGCTTGAACGCCCTTTGAGGCGCCTCAAAAGCACTCGAGCCTCTGACTTGGCTTGAACGCCCTTTGAGGCGCCTCAAAAGCACTCGAGCCTCTGACTTGGCTTGAACGCCCTTTGAGGCGCCTCAAAAGCACTCGAGCCTCTGACTTGGCTTGAACGCCCTTTGAGGCGCCTCAAAAGCACTCGAGCCTCTGACTCGGCTTGAACGCCCTTTGAGGCGCCTCAAAAGCACTCGAGCCTCTGACTTGGCTTGAACGCCCTTTGAGGCGCCTCAAAAGCACTCGAGCCTCTGACTTGGCTTGAACGCCCTTTGAGGCGCCTCAAAAGCACTCGAGCCTCTGACTTGGCTTGAACGCCCTTTGAGGCGCCTCAAAAGCACTCGAGCCTCTGACTTGGCTTGAACGCCCTTTGAGGCGCCTCAAAAGCACTCGAGCCTCTGACTTGGCTTGAACGCCCTTTGAGGCGCCTCAAAAGCACTCGAGCCTCTGACTTGGCTTGAACGCCCTTTGAGGCGCCTCAAAAGCACTCGAGCCTCTGACTTGGCTTGAACGCCCTTTGAGGCGCCTCAAAAGCACTCGAGCCTCTGACTTGGCTTGAACGCCCTTTGAGGCGCCTCAAAAGCACTCGGCTTGAACGCCCTTTGAGGCGCCTCAAAAGCACTCGAGCCTCTGACTTGGCTTGAACGCCCTTTGAGGCGCCTCAAAAGCACTCGAGCCTCTGACTTGGCTTGAACGCCCTTTGAGGCGCCTCAAAAGCACTCGAGCCTCTGACTTGGCTTGAACGCCCTTTGAGGCGCCTCAAAAGCACTCGAGCCTCTGACTTGGCTTGAACGCCCTTTGAGGCGCCTCAAAAGCACTCGAGCCTCTGACTTGGCTTGAACGCCCTTTGAGGCGCCTCAAAAGCACTCGAGCCTCTGACTTGGCTTGAACGCCCTTTGAGGCGCCTCAAAAGCACTCGAGCCTCTGACTTGGCTTGAACGCCCTTTGAGGCGCCTCAAAAGCACTCGAGCCTCTGACTTGGCTTGAACGCCCTTTGAGGCGCCTCAAAAGCACTCGAGCCTCTGACTTGGCTTGAACGCCCTTTGAGGCGCCTCAAAAGCACTCGAGCCTCTGACTTGGCTTGAACGCCCTTTGAGGCGCCTCAAAAGCACTCGAGCCTCTGACTTGGCTTGAACGCCCTTTGAGGCGCCTCAAAAGCACTCGAGCCTCTGACTTGGCTTGAACGCCCTTTGAGGCGCCTCAAAAGCACTCGAGCCTCTGACTTGGCTTGAACGCCCTTTGAGGCGCCTCAAAAGCACTCGAGCCTCTGACTTGGCTTGAACGCCCTTTGAGGCGCCTCAAAAGCACTCGAGCCTCTGACTTGGCTTGAACGCCCTTTGAGGCGCCTCAAAAGCACTCGAGCCTCTGACTTGGCTTGAACGCCCTTTGAGGCGCCTCAAAAGCACTCGAGCCTCTGACTTGGCTTGAACGCCCTTTGAGGCGCCTCAAAAGCACTCGAGCCTCTGACTTGGCTTGAACGCTCTTCGAGGCGCCTCAAAAGCACTCGAGCCTCTGACTTGGCTTGAACGCCCTTTGAGGCGCCTCAAAAGCACTCGAGCCTCTGACTCGGCTTGAACGCCCTTTGAGGCGCCTCAAAAGCACTCGAGCCTCTGACTTGGCTTGAACGCCCTTTGAGGCGCCTCAAAAGCACTCGAGCCTCTGACTTGGCTTGAACGCCCTTTGAGGCGCCTCAAAAGCACTCGAGCCTCTGACTTGGCTTGAACGCCCTTTGAGGCGCAGCACTCGAGCCTCTGACTTGGCTTGAACGCCCTTTGAGGCGCCTCAAAAGCACTCGAGCCTCTGACTTGGCTTGAACGCCCTTTGAGGCGCCTCAAAAGCACTCGAGCCTCTGACTT